TTTATGCACATTTTAGAAGTTTACGCTGACCTATAATTGGATAGCATCCAAACAAGCTATAACTGTTTTTATTTAGTAGAGATGGGCGATCTTTCTCTGTAATTCAGACAATGGTCATGGTATTGTTGTAGTATATTATCTATGGAACACTCACCATTCCTAACCTTTTTAAAAACCTGTGAGAAACTGCTGAGGCAACTAGACAGAATCTCTAAGTGGTTGTTCTTGTCGAGACGGAAATGTGGTCGTATTCAAAGCTAATCTGCAAATGTAAAGTAGCAAAATGTTCGAGGTGTTACAAGTGTGGCAGGTATGAATGTGATCACGATGGCACACCAGTTACTCAAAAAGTTAGCTGTAAGAGAGGACAAAGAAGCTTCAAGTGTCCAAAGCGAAGTACGATTGCGAACATGCAGCGGTAAACTTGCGGATGTATCTGATGGCTTGCCCTCAAATGGGACTGCGAGCAGAAGAAGGAGAACGTTTCAAGATGAGATATGTTGTAATGCCGGATAGAGTTGTTGTACTGGGGAAAAGTATGACCATATCGTGCGGGTTATCCACTTTGGTAGAATAGAAACACCTTAATAACTACTCGTATAAAAGAAAACAGAATAGCAAAATGATTCTTAGATTATGCCCTACATAGTCATGTACCTCACTATTAGGCTCCGGGTCTGACGAGATACCCTACCACCTATCAAAATAGTCGTATTTTCTGTCATTGAGTCAGAGATTGCTTGTTAAAACAATACTTAATAACAAATTATTAGACAATTATATCTAGATTACGAACAATACAATCACAAACTGATATAGTCTTAAATCCTATTACATTAAACACTAATATATATATATACACACACACATATAACTAGACAAAAAAGAAAAACCCTTGGTTATGAATATCATTCATTCAATGGTTATATACAATGCATCAAATTAAAACTACATTACAATAAAAATATAAGTAAAGGAAAATTCATAGACAAATAGAAATGCTAGAATATATTTTTGTTAGTTTTTTTTAACCCTGTCCTTTCTTTGTAGTATTAATTGTCTTAATTAATAACGCTAACTTTTTCCAATATTGTCTGAAGATCTCTGTTTCTCTATTATTTTAAATATAATTACTGATAGATCTTTGTATTTTACATTATATGTTGTTGCTTTTTAAATTCTTTCTTGTATGTATATTGTTTCTTACAGTATTGAAAAAAAAACCGAGAAAAAAATCATCAGAGAAAATAGATAGAAGATTCATAAAATCACAAATACATATTTTCTCTACATCGTTTTGATTCTTACATTTATATCTATAAACAAATTAGCTTTTCGGACACCTAGTTTACTATGGGAACAAAGACTAGCGTCAAATATGATGTAGTTTCAGTTAAGCAATATGTATACTATTTCTGTTAGTATATCTCCACTTGTAAAGAAAAAGTAACACAAACCTACACCTGTCTTTATTAATTTGAGGATATTTTCAAAACCATAACTTATGTGCACCTTTTATCAGTCTTTGTCTATGTTAAATTTATGATATTAAAAGGGTCAGGGGTCATTAACGAGTGGGAATCCATGTTTATCTAACTATTACTTAATGGATTAGTGGTAAGTTTAAGGCGAACATCGTTAAAATCTGGGGTTCTATTCCCCCGCAGTGGGCAGATTGAAGAAAGCCTATTGTGTAGCTTTGCGCTAAAATAAACAAACCAAAACCAAAGTGATTAGTTGAAGTACTTTATTTTTTTAAACTTGTCAGCTGTATTATTTTATTTTGCATTATCCTTAAATGGTAACGGTTTAAGAAAATGTGCAGACTACTTAAGTTGTTAAAACGTAGTTTCAAAAACGAAACATACCATAGTCGTCTATATATACACTATTTCTGATAAAAGATTGGTGATATCTGATCATACATTCAAACCTTTATGTAAATTGCTTATATCAATATCGCTATAAAAATGGCTGTCTCTTTAATTTCTGTGGACAATTTTTTAATTTGTTAATATGATTTATGTTAAAACCTAAAGGAACTCTTATAAAAAAGAAATAAAAATATGCTAATAGAAGAGAGGGAAATGCCCTTAAGATTAACACTGCTATCTAGAGAAGAAATGAAATTAATAATTTTATGAATTTTTTTTTTTTTTGGTTTTGGGTAGATAGATATGAAATGACAACATCAAAACTAAAGAGAATAGATTACTATCTACATCTTTAAAAAAATCTTTCATACTACTCAGATTGGAAACATATGATTTAAGCACAGTTTAAGAAATTGATCAAATGATTGCGATACTGATTCTATAGGTGAAATGTTATTCTTGAGTTTGTGAAATTACTTATTTGGCTTCAGTTTAAATTTCTCTGTAGAACCTTTTGAGATATATTTGTAAGCTGATTCGTCTTTTAGGAGCTGATCTTTAAAATAGTAACTGTTTCGAGTGAAAACCACAGAACTTTTTTGTCTAATACTTTGATGATAAGACTGTTGTCATTGCGTAAAAAATACGTTGAACTCGGCTGTTCTCATAAAAGGAAAACGTCCTAAAATTAGAACAGACAAAAGTTGATTTGTGTAAGCTTTTCTTTTATAAAGTGGAGTTATATTGATAGAAATATAATATGTTTTAAAAGGACTACAGTTTAATGTAACAAACATTTCTGTAAACAACAAGAATACTCGAAGAATCTTTTTATTCAAATAATATAGAAGTTTGCTAATTTAATTGATTTTGTTTGTTTGTAGGAGAAAACGTACAAATTAATACATATTTAAAACATAACTTGAGCCTCTTAATACTTAACAATAACGTTTATTAAAAACTTATTGATTGAAAGTAGGAAACAAACAATGAATCAAACAGCTAATTAAAAAAGATAAATTACTTTGCTAATAAAATATTGAAAAAGATTAGGTAAGATCTTAAATCGTTAAATAGCAAAACTCTTCAAATGCTATCTTAAAAATTCTCTTTAATTTTCAAAACAACATGAAGCTCTTCAGAACTATTTAATCTTTACAAATATTAACAGTTAGTTTTTGTTATGCACAAAGCTACACAAGGGCTATCTGTGCTCTGCCCACCACGGGTATCGAAATGCGGTTTTTAGCGTTGTAAATCCACAGACATACCGCTGTGCCACTGGGGGGTAATATTAACAGAGTAGAAGTGGTTCAAGTACTTTTGTTTTAATCTATAAATTAATTGATTAAGTATCTTATCATTGCACTGGAAAACAAAAGGATATAAATAATTTTGAACAATCGAGTTAATCTGTTAGAAACGATTAACTTTTATCTTAGTTTTAACAACCATGTAGTCTCTTTTTCTTATAATTAACAAGTTTACCTTTAAAAAAAAAACAGGAGCAATCACTAACAATCACTAAAGCAAAGTGAAACCAACATCAAAGACAAATAATTACAATTATAGCAGTATATTTTACTATATTGTATCGTCATCTCTATCACGATCACATCTTTAGTCTCGATTGGGACATTATTAATAATAAGATTTACATAATTATTTCTATTTCCATGGTGGGCAAAGTACAGAAAGCCCATTGTGTAGCTTTTGGGACATTATTAATAATAAGATTTACATAATTATATCTATACCCATGGTGGGCAAGTACAGAAAGCCTATTGTGTAGCTTTTGGGACATTATTAATAATAAGATTTACATAATTATTTCTCTACCCATGATGGGCAAGTACAGAAAGCCCATTGTGTAGCTTTGTGCTTAACAACAAACAAACAAACGTAACTATTTTAATTCAGCGGATTCATTGTTAAAGAGTATTTACTCTATTTCTTTTTGCTTAGTCAAAACATTATTAGCAAAAACAGTGTTCATAATTTTAACCATTTGTTCCTAAATAAAGAATAGATATAACTTATGTATACTTACACACACATATTTACCAGCTGAACATCAAATATGATCGTCAACCGCAGCTTCAATGAGCATCTGACGAATTTTCAGGAAAAATTATTTCCACCAATATTCAAGAAATTTTCTGCATTGGCTGAACTCCGTGAAAAGTAACTTAACTATGTAAATATGGCAAGTAATAATCGTAACAAGGAATAACTTAGCAAACATTATTTAGCAGCAGTTGTATTTACTCGCACATTTTAATGAAATAAGTAAATAGTGTTTGAGCAATGTACTTTTTATGTTTTACTGTCTGAAAGTAGTTCGTGTTTATTTCCTGGAAAACCGTTGGTTAAACTTATTTCATCATTGTATAATCTTGTTTCTTTATATCAACCTGCACAGATCATTTATGATTAGTGCAATTTTCGTGCTTGTATGTAATTTTGTAATTTAATATGACGAGAAAAACTTCATTATGATAATGACAAGATTGAAAGTTTATTTTTCATCATAAAGATTTTGCTCACGATGAAAACTAACGTTAATATGAAAATACAATAATGAGAATATTCCTAAAAGCGTCTAAAAAGCGCGTGTGTGGTTTTATAGCAAAGTCACATTGGACTATTTGTTGTGTCCATCAAGAGAAATCGAACCGCTGATTTCAGCGTCTTAAATCCATAGTTTTACCGCTATCCCGACAATAGACGTCTAAAAAGCAGCAGAAAATGAATTAGATCATTTAGAAAAGTTTAGAGTTTATGATTATCAGTATTAATTATTGTTGCGATATTATTACAGCTTTAAAACAACACTTTTCATTATTTTAGTAGCAAATATTGATAAATATGTAATAGCTTTGTTTATATATATATATTTGTTTCAGCTTTTTGTGCATTGATTAAGTCATTACTTTATCAATAGAATCATTAGCCATAATAAAATGTATATGATGGCATCTTTTAACTTATTAACGATTGGCTAGTTAACAGCGACCTCTATGAATCTAACTTGCAAAGTCGCCTAAGGAAATCGTTACGGAGCTCAGTTTGATGGTGACTGCTATAGTTTGGCGGTTGGAAAGTTTGGAGGAGCTAAAGGAAAGTTGTTAAGCTGGAAGTAGACGCCCAGTAGTTGCTATATCTTTTCTGGCTCTATCTGAAGGTAATAAGTATAAAAAGTATTCGGACTTAGTCATATGAAAAATACTGGTTTACGGAAAAGAGAATTAGAAAAACTAGATAGCTGTTAATTCTACTCGAACTTTATGTTAATCATTGTTCTTAATCTATTGAAAGACAGCTAAAAAGACAATGATCGTGGACACTGCCAGATTGAACACTGGTCACCATCATACGAATTGATTAAATTCAAGTAATTGAAAGTGGGCGCTTCTGTTAAACAGAGCCGCCATGTTACCAAAACATTTGTTTACCGGTAAAAACAGCCACTATATTTTATGCATCAAACTTTGGCTAACACTTTATATGTTGTCTGCAGGCCAACGTATCGAACTGCAAATTGGTGGTTTTTTCCCGGTCAGTGCTAATCTGACGAAAGGTGCAATTGGAAGAGGAGTAATTCCAGCAGTTAGATTAGCCTTAGAACATATCAATGACTGTCGTCATATTCTTACTGATTACAAACTTACAATACAGTGGAACGATACCCAGGTAAGTTCATAACTTCATAAATGTAAATTTATAAGTATGGTACAAGACATTGTACGGACAGAATTAAACAATATGTTGTATAACTAGTTGGCTTGAAAAGTACGTGCTATTTGTTCATTGTTTTTCTATAGAGATTTGCTATCATTATTAATCCAGGTCTACTAAAAACAACGCATTTACAAGATTATCTAATACATATTTTCCTTAACTGGTTGTATAAAATGCACCGTACATCTCTGTTATTTTTTTTATATTGGGAAAATATAGCTACACAAAACGGAGTTTCATGTTGTTTTTAGTATGTAACAGGCAAGGAAAATATTATTTTGCGAAATGTATATATATATATATGTATGTATGTACAATATACATGGAAACAAGTAATTCAAGTCCAGCAAAATAAAGTCTTTAATAGAAAAGTCATTCATGTTATGTCATTTTATTGTATCTTTCAATCGCGAATCAGCAAGTACTTCAAGAAAGAATATTCTGTCATTCTAAACTAGAAAGCTTCAATTTCATTTTGTAGAACTTCGAAACTTATAGCTACTAACTTTAACAACAATCTTTTAAGTATGTCCTAACATGATTGAAATGATAGACTTTATTTCTGAAAAGTTATTTTACAAAATACAATTTTATGAAACGAAAATTTGACAAAAAAAAAAAAGAAAAGAAAAGAAAGCAGGTACAAATACTGGTTGTTTGGAAATTATTCTAGTATATTTAGCACACCAAGTTCCGTGGCCTGAAGTGGAATATATCCGGAAATTTAAAAAAATAAATTATCTGGGCCATATGACAACTCATTGACGATTTATAAAGTCTTATTGACAAATGCTGTTGTTGCTGTTTATTTAATATTAAACGACAAAAAGAACTATATACATTTTTATCTAGCTGATTCATTAAATTTCAATAAAGTTTACATACGTAAGTTGGCCTCAAGCAGATGATGATGCCAAAAATGATACATATGTATTGTAGCCACTATTTCCCCAGTAAACAGCTTATCTGCATCGTCTTATTATTATTTTTTACTTTGCAATGAAAGTACATTTTCATTCTGGCTGACGTATAGTCTTTATCGTTGTTAGTTCAGATCACAGTATTAGACTTTGCAATCAGAAACCACCGCGTAAATTTTTTCTGTAATTCTTGTGGGTAACAAACAAAATAAAGCTGATTTCTTGATACCTTGAAGAAACGTGCTGCAATTATTAGAAGTAACTCTTAACATGCTTACGTTAAAACAAAACTACGTAATCCACCAAGAACAACTTGAAGTATATACTTTTGTACACAGACAAAAAAAAAAAAAAAAAACACACACAATATAATTCATAAAAAAACAACAGTGATTCCAAATTTGTCAAAAAATGGGCGAATCTTGTGATTGCATCACTGATGATTTAATGACTAACCGTGTGCTTCTGTTTTCAATGGTTGTATGTTTTATGGCCTAAATTCAAAGTTAAATTAGGAATTACCAAAACTTCTTCTTTGTTTAGAGTTATTTCCTTCTTAGGGTGTTCTAAACAAATGTGATAGTGAGATACCATTTCTTTATAGGATAATTACAGTACGTTGGCGCTGAAAGAAATGTTTTTATTACTGTACGACACTTATTAAGGGTATTCTAAGAAACTCTCATTAGGTGAACTAAATTAAAGCTTTTGCTCTTTTTTATATTACCTAGGAATTCTCGAAAATTTTAAACTTTAAATTTTTAGCTTCGGAATAAACTTCTCATAATGGATTTAATTAGAGTTAAAATTACTGCCTCTGGGGACGCTTTATTTTAATAGCATAGCCACATTGGGATATTTATTGTGTACACCGCGCTGAATCGAACTTCGGAATTTAGCGTTGTAAGTTCGTAGACTTATCACACTACTGTCCCACCGGGAAGGCCTAGGTATGGTTGCCAATGGTCGTCTTTGTTTCATTTAAAACCACTTAACAGCAAGACAGAATATGTATGCCTCCGCAACCCCCCGCAACGCGGAGGGCCTGAAAAACTAAATAATTGCCGACTAGATGAGAAACATACGATTTAACTTGTTTAAACTAACTGACGGTTACACTACTCTGTTAAGTTAATGATATCAATCAGCCAGAATCGTAACTGCAATTAGAGGGAAATAAATGTATGGGCCCAATTACATTTTATGCGGGAGGGGGGCATCTTTTGTAGTTACGCCACATACCCTAACTATCATTTTTTTAAATCTAATAAGACGAAAATGATATGCGAGTAGAATATATTTGAAATAGACCTACAACGCTAAAATCCTGGGCTCGATCCTTTGTTGTGGATGAGTGTGTTTTCTTATAGCAAAGCCACATTGAGCTATTTGCTGTGTCCCCCAAGCAGAATCGAACTCCTGATTTTAGCGTTGGAAATCCGAAGATTTACCGCTGTCCCACCGAAGGACATGTCTGGTGGATAGAGCACAGATAGACAATTATGATGATGACAAAACCTTGTCGAAACGTTGTACATTTGCTGTTATATTAAAGTTTTCCTTCATTACCCATTCAAGCCGTCTCCAGCCATTATTAGACAACTATGTACTTTTGCGCTACAAACAAATAAAGTGCTTGAATTAGCAATTAACATATTTGACTTGAAATCTTACTTTCTGATTTAATCATTATAACGTGGGATTAGTCATTATAATTAATTAATTATTATAACGCGAGATTCATATAATTCACTCCTAAATTAAACAGTAATGATTTTTACTTTATTCTAGTTCTTTTGGCTTTTTTCCCAAATAATAGATGTAATACTTATGATAAAATCTAGGACTAGATTAAAAACGATGAAACAAATGTAAAATCTAGCTTAACAAAACAAGAATTTATGGACATAATTAAGTGACAGAAAATGATGTTTATTATTGGTATAACTTTATGTGGATTTAGAGATTATTAATTATTTTTAGTCACTTGTGTACTAATATGAAAAATCGCGATGTTGAAATAATACTTTTTAGCCGCGGCACAGCGGCTCATAGAATGGCTCTGAATTTTTCAACTACAAACTTTTAGCTCATAGCTCCGTCATCTCTTGACCGACTTGAGATTTAATTTTCAGACTCGGGGGTCAAAACCTTTTGATTTATGTATTTGACCACGCTAAAGGTCTCATAGATTAATTAACTCTAATCCTGACGAAAATAATTTCAATTTGAGGGAAGGCTGGTAGAGATCCTGATGAGTAATAAAATCGAATCGGGTATATGCGTGCCCTACGCTTGGTATTGCTGGTGCTGTTGTTGTTGTTTGCTATTAAGCACAAAGCTATACAAAGGGCTATCTGTGCTCTGCCCACCACAGGTATCGAAACCCGATTTCTAGAAGTATAAGTCCGCAGATATACCGCTGTGCCAATGGGTGGCGTTTGCTGGCGCACAAAAATATAGCTAATAACAAAATTTAAAAAAGGTCTCATATATTAATTTACTCCAATCCTGCCTAAAATAATTTCATGTGCCGCGGCTATTGAGGATTTCCTCTTGTTCTAATAACAATTAGGCTGGATGTTGTTAAGAAGTTGGCGTGTTGAGCTATGGATTGGCAAGTTCACGGTTTGAGCTATGTAGGGCCATAAAACCGTGATAGTCAAGAGTACCTGTCTAGGCAGCCGTTGCTACTGAATTGTTACACTCCTTCTAACCAATACGTCCCCCGATGGGACAGCATTAAGTCTTCAGATTTCCAACGCTAAAATCAGGGGTTCGATTCTACTCGGGCAACACAGCAGACAGCCGGATGTGGCTTTGCTATAAGAAAACACACACATTGACCAATAGTTCTAAATTAGGAATGGCCATGTACAATATTGAGATCTGTTGACTTTCATGTTAAATCAAAATTCACATTAAACGCGTTCAGGTTGAAAATACTTAAAATCTAACAGTGACAAATCATAATTTCGTTTTATTTAATGATTATAAAATATGTTTCTCACTTGTCACTTTGTAATTTCAATCATTAGTAAAAATGGTATATTTTTCCTTACAGCTTTTTAATGGTTATGAAAAATAGTATTTCTGACATGTTTTTCTTGTAGTAATTATCTACTTTTGTAATGTCTTTCACCTGGTAAAGTTGGAAGAGTAGAATCCTGACCACAAGAAACCTGACAAATGGAACACAGTCCATTCTTCCATCTATCTTTTCCATTAGTTAGTCACCAACAATTGATGACCACAGTATGTTTTTTTATGGAAGGTGTGTTTTCTATTCGGTCATAACACTTAATAAATCTAATTAAATATTTTTTCGAACATTCAGTAAACAGAAACGGCACATCATAATGACGCTCCTGTTAGACAGATACCGTCTAGCACGCTTTTTAAAACGAAGTGATCTTTGCTTTTTTCATTGTTTTTCACACTAACTATATATATATACCCACGTCTCTGCATATATATATAACCAAACATTCAAACTACATTTAAACAGTCACATGATACATCACATGACAAGACTGTTTTGTGTGTGCAAATAAATGGAATGTTCATTGTAGCTGTGTGTGTGTGTGTGTGTGTCATTTTAACATAATTTATATGACAACAATGATTATATAGCAAGGAAAAACTGCTTACTTTTGTATAATTTTACTTGGTTTGATTGTAAATTATTCGCTTTCTATTTACTATTATACTGAAAATATGGAGTCGAAATAAGATCAGAAAATTGTTTATTGTACAACACAACCCGGTGAGTAACATATTTATGTTCCCACTAATGGAAATGCATTACGCCCAATGTGGTTATTTACGAACAGTGCATTTTTGAAAGAATAGTAAATTTTCATCACTGCTCTCGTTTTTATATCATTGCTTTCAGTTTCAAAGATCTGTTCTAATTCATATTTGTAGTATTTGGTTACATATGGTTAAAAGAGAAACTGTTTTTTCCCTAGGTTTTGAAGTCTGCTAAAGCTTTAGCATCAGTAGATTTTGTATAGTCATATACGTACGCTA